CAAATACCTTCTGGGATGATTGTCTACCTTATTTTCCATGTGTTGCTGTGTTGCTCCGGGTTGAAATGGCTAGAAAGACTTTGATATTGTATGCTTGTAATTAGTTTTTGTAGTGTTGCGTTTGTTTTAAATGTGGTGAATTATAGATATTTTTTGTTGACTTTGTACCGCGCTTCGAGCCTTTGGGGATGAAGCGTGTTTTTGAAATGAACTTTATTATTATTATTATTATTATTACTTGATGGACGGCCCCACAGGCGAAGCAGGCCACTGCCTGGGGGGCACCACATACTCCAAAGAAATTTATAAGAAGATTTTCCTTTTTCGTAACCGACAATCCAAAGTCTAGCCAGAAAATAGAAATGAGTGGTATTCAATGTGTATCTTTATGCTAGTTTTTATTCTTATTTTGACACAGTCAGAAAAAATCACTTTTATACTACCGGGTATCGAAACAAGACCAATGTCTGTTTATTTTTACCCATTTTGTGAGATCGCAAAGAAAAGCAAAATAGTTATATTTCATCATTTTTTTTACTTTAGTTCTATATGTTGTTTTATGTATTCAAAGTATGTGTATATTGCCATCTCCATTACGACAAGGGTTTGGTGCAGTGCTGCCACTCAATTTTTTTTAATTCCCAAGATGTGTTCAACAAAAAAAATATTTCCCAAGATTTCCCAAGATCATGAAAATATTTGAGGTTTTTTTAAGGATCTTGGGAATTTTTTTTAAAAAGTTGGTTTTGGTCCTGAATGGGGTTGTGAATTCCCAAGATCTTGGGAACTTTCCCAATGTGTGGCAGCCCCAGCTTGGTGTCGTCTGCTGTCAAAATTGACCAAGGAGTCTTTCCTCTAATGCAGGGGTCACCAAACTATGACCCTCTGGCCGGATGCGGCCCGCGAGGCCATCTCATCGGGCGCGTGGAGACATTGTCTAAGGGAACAAAAATTACGGAAATTTACGTGAATCCAGTCAAGATCAGCCACCGCTCACGTGGACGTTATGTTTGTACCGAATTAAAATAAAGGCGCGCAGTAGTGCGTTATGTTTTCCAACCGATCACTCCATTGCAAAATTATATTACTCCCTGCTTGGCTTTTCTACTTCCGTTCACAGTCAGTGAGATGATATAATGCCATCTAGTGGCGGAGTTTTTAAATGTTTTGCTGCTTGTTCAAGATAAAATGAGTAAAACAGAGTATGGTTAAACCTGAAAAAATAAACGCAACAAAACAGCGAACGTGTCGGCAGAAAGCCTTCGTCAGCGAACAAAACAACAGAAAAACGGTATAAAAATAAGAAATAGCACTTAGCTGGTAAGTAGTATCTGTGGGCAGCAATAGAAGTGTGGCATTTTCCTTCTGTATTTCGATAGGAGACAAACTAACCATGCATAATTGGTAGTCTGCAGTAAACACGACAGATCAAAGGACTAAGCCACGCCCATCTATCAACGCAGCGTGTGCTAGGAATCTAATTTGGGGTCAAGCAAAGTTCACGCACGGGTAAAAGTGTCCTTCATAACAATCACAATGTAAAATTTATTTATACATGTATTCATATTTTTAAAAAAATTGGTGGGGGGGGGGGGTTGAAAAAAATGTTGACATAATTACTCAGGGGGTTATTGAAAGTTTGACAGTTGTTGACAGGGGGGGGATGTCAAAGGGGGATGTCAAATTTGCGTAAAAATTGTTGACGTAATTAATGGCCGACCCCATAACTAATTGAACTTGCTATTCCAACATGACTTGTAATGCAAAATAGATGTTACAGCTTTTGCAAATAATTTTTAGCAGCGATGCTATTATGCTACTCACTTTACTTTCCCCTAATTCTCAAAATATCGTATTCCTACTCTATCAATATAATTTATCTTGACTGCACATGAAAATGAAACTTTAACCTTTTCCTTTTTCCATACATGCAACATGATCGCAAACATATCACCCTGGTCATTTGCGACAAACAGAATCTTCAGGGGAATAGAAGCCAACTTTTGACTTCTCTTGCACTAACAAAATGTGCTAACATTCTCGCCAGCCATCAGCAGTACACAGCACAGACAGACACACATTAAATAAATCTTATATTGTTAAAAGCCTACAAATTATATGACTATTTGCACTCATTTACACTTATAAATTTGTAAAAATAATTTAAGATTAAAATTTTAATAGAGCAAACATGATTGTTGACGTCAACTAATCTA